CTCCCTTGCCCCGTTTTTTTCTTACCACACCCCCCCAGCCCCGCCTCAACTCCGCCCCTTCCCCAAATCCCCAGCCCTGCCTCCTCCCCCCCAGGCTCTCAAGCCTGGGAGGGAGGGGGAGCAGCGGCGCGCGAATCAGCTGTTTCGCGCGCCGCGGCCGCTCGGGATCTCCCCCTCCCTCCCAGGTTTGAGAGCCTGGGAGGGAAGGCGAGCAGCAGCGCGTGAATCAACTGTTTCACACGCCGTGGTGCGTGAGCGGCGGCAGCAGTGGAGGTGAGCTAGGGCGGCCGGGGCACATTTTTAGGGGCGGCAGGGGCGGCATTCTGGCGCCGGCCATGCCGCTCCTAAAAATGTGCCGCCCCAAGCACCAGCTTGTTTTGCTGGTGCCTACAGCCGGCCCTGCATGTAATGAACTACCAATATCACTTCTTCCAGCACCCTACTTTTATTTTGGAGGGGTCTCTTGTGAGTTTTACAGAGATCACTGTCTGAGTTGGTATGACTGAAAACTAGGTTCACTTCTGAAGCTCTAATGGAATTATTCTAATGGAGGGCCTTACTGAGAGTGACATTTAAAATAATTTTTCTTCTGGTGATTCTACTATTTGTAATATCACCTTGTGTTGTGGATTAACAGGAGGATCTTCAAATTTTCTGATAGAATACCATTTAAGTAGTGGGTCCTGTGTTTAATTCTTTTAAAAACACATTTGAAAGGGTTTTTCTGCTCCCCTGCTGTGGTTTCTGAGCAGATCAAAGAGCAACACTCCCCAAACAGGCTGTGACTTCTCTACCCTCTCCCTCCCTCTTTGCATATCTGCCTCTGAAGTTTCAGCTTTGTCGCTGTGGTCACTGGTTCACACACTCTTGCAGGTCCTGGGGAAGAATATGAACATTAAACTTCCCCTAGATTAGTGCACAGACAAGGTCACTATGTTAGTGAATTAGACTTGAAATGCATTTGACCATCAACAAAGTAATGAACCTGACTATACACCAGGTGCTGTCAAATACACAAAGACAAATAGGTGAAAAGAAAAGATTTCTCTTCCACTAATATATAAGTAAAGTACAAATGGAAATTTGATTTTTGAGCTGATGGTGTCTGTGCATCAATGGGCCAAGTTTGGGGAACTGTGGTTTAACTTTCAATGTAGCTGTGTGCATTTCTATTTATGTAGCTGCACATCATCACCAAAACTCACTTTTGGATAAAAATCCCACTGTTTACAAGGAGCAACAGAAAACAGAATTTGAAGCATTTTGCTTTTGCTCAGTTATGATCATCTCCAACACAAAATCTTCCTACAGTTCTGGCACTGCATAGAAATAAAGATGGAAACCCCCAAATTGCTTTGTTAATTCTAATCATCCATTGAGTTAAAAGTTACCTCAGTAAGGGCTGAAGGACTTCATGGGATGACTGATCTTCCCGTTTGTGAATAAAAATAGAAAGTTTACCATCCACTGCCTCACTCTCTTCTCCAGGATCTTTATCTCCTTTTATGGAATTTTTGGGGCTGGTTTTTGCCAAAGTGGTATCTGGTTCAGATGCAGTTGGAGACAGAACTGTCTGACATCCTTCAAGCAGAAAAGAAAAAGAGCAACAGTCAGATACTTTCAAGGATTGTTTTGAAGTCAGCTTCCTTAACAAACTTTCCTGGCTTTAAATGTATTGCCTTTAGATTTATATGAGCTTTCTTTCACGTGTCTGCAATAAGCACCCTATTCAGAAAATTGAACTACACTGAACGGTCAGAATGCCAGAGTTATAGAAACATGCCTACTACTAGATATTCAAACTCATCCTGCTGTTAAATTTTTGGCAAGTTAACCTTCTGAACACGAACATTTAATAATAACTGTGCCTTTTGTCAACACACGCCTCTTGCACAATAATGCATTATTTCTCAAGCTTGTGGCACACTTATTACCCATAATAAGAACAAACATTTAGACATGAGAAATGGTTAGCACCTGGCACCACATAATCTGCCAATTTTGCTAAGAGTAGTGATGCAATCTTGGAGGCTGGGTCACTGGGGTCATCCTGTTCACTGTTCAGGGAGGGCACAGAGTAACTCCATGGGGGCAGTTCAACATTTCCACAGTCTTCTACACTCATGAGAGGAAGCGCAGCACGACACAACTGGAGGATTATAAGGACGAGTTTTGGAGACGGTCGTTGGTCCAGAAGCAGTGAGAGAAGTTTGGACACACAGGCTGGCTGGCTCAGGATCGCTTTACCTATGTGACTCCTGAGAGAAAAGAGCATAGTCATCTCTCTGACTGCAAAACAGGAAAGTTAAATCATACTCCCGTAATCAAATACAAACGATAAGATGACATCCTGCCACGGGTAAAGGGATCTTTATGGCAATACATGATTATATTATTAAAGCCCGTACTTAAAATTAAACACATAAAATGGTCCATCAGAGTTAAGTAGTAATCAATTTCAAATGCAAGATGAATGATACCTCATTATTTCTCTTTGGTGTCTGGAGCGTCTTATACAACTCCCATAAAAAATGTTTGCCTGTTTCCCATATAATCTCTCATAAAACAGCTCTTGAAGATAGTTCCATTATTTGAGATTTCATGACAAATTTTAGAGCAAAACAGTTTAAATGCTGCTATTTAGTCCCATTAACCCTCCAGCTCAAAAAATCCAAGAAAGCTTCCCTAGGCACCAAAGCTTATAAACATAAGCGCAACTGTGAAGTCTGTGATATTCCGCTCCACTAATCTCCTTTGTAACATACAAGTACTGTATTATTTCAGTATGTACTCCACAGCCCAGAACAAATACAATAAAGTTCTTTAGTTATGGTATTACTGCAGCTGTGTGTCACTTTTCATCAACAAAAAGACACAGTAAGATGCCAAAAACAGTATGTTCAATCTTGCAGTTGTTCCCAGTGTACAACTCCTATTGAGGTTAATAAAAACTATACCAAGGACAGCAGGGTCAGGTTTACAATGGCATTATACTGAGTGGTTTCATTCTTAATGAATAAACTATTACTCCGTTACAGCATATATCTTAAAAATATGCAGGCATGTGACACATAAGCTCATTAATGTTGTCAAACAAGTCACTTGACTCTGCCACACAGAGTATAGATTTCAATTTCAGAAAGTACTACTGGACGTCTAGACACCCTCACCTGCTATCAACAAGGGATTAATCCTAAAATTACGCTGCAGGCCACATTTCAAAGTAGCCTCAAGCTTTTGCAATGGTATTGAAAGAGGTGTCATTATCTTTACTATTTCCATTAGAGGAAATGAAGTGCTTTCCAACGCTGGACAGTAGTCCAGAAAAAAAAAAAAAAGACTTTATTGAAGTACTTCTAGTACCTTGACAGGTCATTAAGAAGGCTAAGTACATCTTGCAGTGCATCATTTCCAGCGGCCTGATTACCACAACATTCTGTCGCTCGTGCCAGGTGATTGGTAAGAAGGCTGGAGACTTGACGAGCCAGACCAGAATGAACAGCCTCTGTTGAACCACCTTCAAAGGGAATGCAAGAATGTACAATTGTTAAACGTATACATGATAAAAAAGCGATATATTGGAAAAACCTAGACACATTCATTTACAGTTCAGTAATTGCTTACAAAAAATCATTCCGAGTTAAAGTCAAACCTGCAATAACATCTAGTTGCTAGGTAACAAAAGGACACTCAGTCTTATGACACAGTGTCGTTGAACATACTATTCTATTTATGTGGATAATATTTAAGTGAGTAAGTTTCCCACCAAAGTAATTTTGCTAATTTCACATAAAGACACAATTTAGAGAAAACCCAGGCTCCAGAAATTTCAGATGGGTATCTAAACGTACATACTGGTTTTCTATAAATATAAGAATACGAGAGCCAACAGAACTTTTTCAAGTTCACCAACAGCCTATCAGATTAAAAAAAATACTGAAATGACAAAATTATTCCATTGGAGTCACACCAAAGAAGAATTTGAGCCATTGCATATACTGTTGATTAAACCTGACACTAAGTCACTCAAGCCTCTCCCCTTTTAAAAAACTTCTAGAATGAAAAACTTCTCTTGATTCATTTAAAAACACCACCCCTCCCACTCATTTTAAAATCCCATCTCAACACTATTTGTAAATAAATAATAAATAATACTACCTAGCTCTTACACAGCACTTTTCATCAACAGATCTCAAAGCACTTCATAACTTTTAATATATATAATAAAATATTTTATATTTAATAAAAATAATTATTCCTAAATGTCAGTGTCTGGTCAATGCAAGATTTTAAAAATATCTATACTGTTTCCTCTCATACACGAACTCAATGTCTAGCAGCAATTTTAAAATAGACAATATGTAATATCAACACTGCTCCTACCCTCTTCTTTTTCCCATTCAACACAGCGATTGGCTAGGACCTGGAAGGCAGCCCAAGCCATCGTAGCCACCTTCTGTTTTTTAGTCTGCTTTTCATTTGAGCTGGATTCTGTCTGGCTGCTTAAACTACAGAGCCTGTCCATAAGCTGCACCAGGCCACTGCGTACCAAGCACTTCTCTTCACTCCTGTTCAGAAGAACAAAGAATTAAGGTTGTACTGCATAACTTCTCAATTGTTTTCAACATACACAAGCTATCCCACATTTCTCAGCATATGTACTGTATCTATTTATCACAGCTTTCATTGTAGCATTGGACAATTCAATGTTTCATCTATTACTTTAGCCTTAGAAGGGACAAAATGTAACAGGATATTCTCCAAGTTTGTCATCCAGCATTATCTCTGAATGTCATGGTCTTGATGCCAAGCTGTTCCTAATAGACGCTTAAGTGCTATATAAAGGGTTATTAAATCTATATGCAGTCTACAGAGCATCATTTTGAGTTATGCCACCTGCTAAAAATGGAAGACATATCAATCATCTTTATTTCATGCCTCACCATTAACAACAGTAATATTTTATATTTATATAGAACTTTATATGTTCAAAATGCTCTCATAATGTTCATTAATCCTCACAACACCCCAAGAGATAGTTGGCTAGGTACTGTGCTTACTTTAGGCAAACCGAGAAAGCTGAAGTGTCTTGCCCATTGCTATAGAACAAATCAGTGGCAGAGCCAAGACCCAGGCCCTCCCAATGCTCACCCCTGTGCTTATTCCACCAGAATACACTGCCAGGAGATATTACAGGATGATTTTAAAAAACCACAACAAAGTCCATTCCACTCTACATAATAATTCTTCCCTTTGAAGCAACACGTAACTATATGGCACAACTGTATAAAAAGAATCTAACCATTCTTTTCTCTCTCCTTCTTGAAGCAAAACCTTTCCTACCTTGTATATGGTATAGTGCACAAGAGGCCAATGCTATTTGCACAAGCAATGGGGTAACGAGCACACAATGAAACCACCGAGGTCATGGTCTCTCCAAAGGCTTCTTGGACTTGTTCCACCATCCCGCCACAAGTGAGTTCTTCGATTCTGTTGGAAGTTATATATTTGAAATCATGTCTTTTTGTGCCAAGTAAAATTAAAAGCTTCCAAAACAAAGCTACAGGAAATCGCCACAATTTGAAAGAATTCATGAAAGATTTGAAGACAAAATTCTATACCCGATTTATATCAAATGTAAGAAATGCTTAATGCTACAAAATACGGCATTCTTGTTCTGCTCTCCAAAATGCATGCAAAATACTGACTTAAATCACCATTCTGGCTACACTGCCTAACTGAGAAACTGGTTCCAGACGCCCAACAAACTATTTGAATTTACTTTTACAGTTACATTAAAAAGTTTTTATAAAAGAGACTAAATCCGATTTTGTTACCTCATGCCATAAAACCCACTAGTTCAGATCTTATCAATTCATTTTATTTGGTGTGTGTTTAGATTTAAATCACAAATGTAAAAGAATCTCTTTCGTGCTTTATGTGTTCTTGCCATTAGTTGAAATGTATTATATAATTGTTAACACCTGAACATTTTACCTCCCTAGCTTTGCACACAGCCACTAGGCCACAACAACATAATACAAACCAAATCCAAGTCTTCGCTCACTCAATTCTCCTAAGTCAGCAGTTCTCAACTAATGGGTCATTGGCCTAAAGGGGTTGAGAGGCAGCAGCAGGTATCTTGGTGGTGGGGTTACAATTCCTACTTCTTTCCCTGTCTTTAGTCATGCACTGAGATGAACTTGCTAAAAATCACTTGCAGCTAGTCCTCAAATAGCAGTATCTCATAAGACTCTGTGATACCTGTACCTTCTGACAGGTGATAGGACATACCAATTCTTTTGAAGCACTGTGGGAAACATTAAAAGGAATTCCAAGATGTCTCACAAGAGGACTGGTCATAACAAAGTCTGAGAACTCATGCCCTGGGCATGGAAAGCCAGTTATCTCTTTAATGCTGTTGGTGTAATGCAGTACCATTCCTTGCATAAAGCACACCATCTAGGACCAAAAGTTTAATAAAGTTCTGAGGAACAACTTACCTTGGTCCTCCTTGAAGCACCATAGTCACTGGACCCACAAGATGTGTAACACCACCAACCCGAACTGCTGCTGTTAGAAGCTCTCTCATATGCACCAGTGCCTGTTTCCTTGTGTTCCCACGACGCCACCTGGTCTGAGCAGCTAACAGAAAACTGCTACTGGATACCTTATAAAGAAATGTCTCTGTTTTATTACATAAGCCCCACATCTGTACCTTTCAACTTAGATTAAAAGCTGATGTTACATTTGTGCTTGAGCATATAAGGATTTAGCATGTTTAGCATGACATACCGCTTGGTCAGGATTTGTCCCAATGAAAGCAAACAGCTGCCCTAACAAGACACTGTACGTAGGTTTATCTCTGCTATCTTCGACGGTCAAAGATTGAAGAAGAGTAAAAGAGCTACTTCTATGACTAGTAACATGGCGCCGCCTATGGGAAAACAGCACTTATTAGAGAATTTAAGAATGGGCTTATCTATGAAAAATTTTCTTCTAAAAACATGGTACATTATTAACAGAACTACAGAATATACTTTTAGGTGTTTCACACAGCAATTCAGTGGACTACCATCTGCATACCTCTGACTTGATCTAGTGAACTCCAAATCTTCATTTCCAATCATTTCTAGGTCAGAAGGTGCCGACATGCTACGAAGGAAGACAGGCTGGCGGACAGCATGAGAGATCACTTTTGTTTCAGATGCTGATTTACAAGCTGCAACGTTATAAAACAAAGTTCTGTCACTGCTGGTCTTGCAGTGTAAAGCAATTTCTAAACAAATTAGGAAACAAATTAAAACACAAACAACCACCTACACAAAACACCAAATGCATTTCCCCTAATCCCACGCAAGAATCTGAAACGCCATTTAAATGGCTCTTCTGCTGGCAACCTCATACATTTTTAAGTTTTATTTCAAGGAACCTGGTTTGATTCGGATTATGTGTTTTATTATTACTGTGTGTAGTATTTACATGTTAGGAGACGGCAGTATCATTGAGTCAGCTTTAGGTAAGGAAAGTGGAAAATATGTAATTTCACTTTTATTTTACATCAGCAATTCAGAGTGTACCTAATAAGTTTTGGATGAAAAAGAACAAATAGTTTCTATAGACCCAGAAATGTTAATTAACACTGGGTCACTTCCCTTAGAAGTTGTCTTCCATCCATGTTTATCTTAACATTTCAAGACCATCTAATTAACGGGTAATTCTTAAAGTTTCTGCATTTCATTTTTACAGCCAGTTTCTATATTAAGGCAACCTCTGATAGAAAAAGTTATTGTAGATGGGCTACCACCTTCTTAATCCTCTCTCTTTACACCATCTAATAATAGTCTTATAATGAAATATTTACTTATAATGTGAAATTGCAGAACCTGGAATTATTTATCAATAGGAAAGGAGAGGAATCAGAGGCGATTCGATTGAGGTGTGCAAGATTATAGTAATCAGAAGACCTAATTATTTTATTTTTAAAATCAAGCTATATAAATGAGAAACGTAAAAGACTAAACAGACTATGTTTGCAATATAATTGTTATTAATGTTGCAAATTCCACTTATTGGTTTTGAAATTAGTTAACACTATTCACAGAGTTATGCTGGTAACATGGTGACACTGGTAGGCAAATAGTAAACAGAGCCCTAAAAACAAATTCACTGCTTGTTAAATGGAAAAGGAAAAATAGGTAGAGAAATGTGATCTTAAGGGGCATTACAGATGATTAATTACAGGTGTCATTTATATTCATAGCAAATAATACTAGCAAACATTCAGGTCTAATAATCGGATGCACTGTAAATTGGTACCTGGTGTCTCAGCAGGGGTACCGGATATACTTCTTGTGATACCAGCTTGTGCTGCAATAGTAACATGCAACAGTAGCTCTGCTCTATTCATCAAGCTCTTTACTAATGTTTTTGTTTTAGCCAAGGGATGTGAGGGCTTCTGAATCAGAGAATTGACTTCTTGAAAAAATTTCTCCCTAAAATGGTGAACGAAAAAACAGTGTAAACTTAGTTGTTCTTTATGCCTCCTGATATAACATATCTTAACTGGTAACATTTTAAAGATGTCCCTCTTGTAATCTCTTTAATTACTGTTTTTGAGTTAAGAAATGTATTCAAATAGAAAACAGAATAATCCTATTGTTTTTTTCTCCCTCCCCATTACATAACATCCATAAACAGTTAACTGTATTTATGTCTCCAGCATTTCAAATTTTGATGAACTTTGATCTTCCCAAAGATGACCCTCTTTATGCAGTTACCAGCAATTTGAAGAGCCTTTCAATTCTATTTTCAAAACAACAATCTAATCAAGGCTTCTGTTTCACTTTGGTAGGTAAAAATCACCGACAAGTTTCATACAAGACTTAGGTCTTGATTTGGAAAGACGTTTAACCACATGCATAACTTTAAACCTGTGGGTAGTCTTACCTAACTCAGTAAGACTGCATGTGATTAAACTTATGCATATACTTAAGAACCTAGGCTGAATCAGGGCCTAGAACGCTAAGCTAACAGATCCAACTACTAACCTCAATGACAGGACCATATTCTCAAGATCACTTCCATCAAAGGAAATTTCTTTCATTGAACATAGAAGTTCCAATTCTTTCATTTTGCTCTAGAGAAGAACAGGATAAAAATGTATCCGATTCAGTAGGATCATGGAATTTTTTTTTGCACGTATGCATTAAAAATGTCCATGGTTACAAACCAAGAATATTAATCACTCATATCTAATTGCCAACTTTTTAATTGCAGATACAGACACTGGGAAATCATAATACATTTTTGGGAGATCTTACTCTTTTTATATTCCTAACAAAAATTACTCCAAAAAGCAACAGTGATCGACATTTATGATGAATTCCTATTGTCAGCATATACATTAGACAACTTGAAAGCATGCACTATAATTTTTTAATACTAATAAACTTACACACTGAAAAACTTAGCAGTAAATGAAAGAAAAGAGTAATTATACCGCAGTCTACAAATGCAAAAATAAGAGAGCAAACTTATCTCTATAAATGAATGGGATAAATGCAATGCTTACCTCATTGAAATGATAATCATAAAAGAATGGAACATTGTTTTCCAGCTTCCCATGTATGGCATCATCTACCTCATTCTGCCATCTCTGTTCCAATTCAGCTACACTCTAGTAAAGATACAAAAATATTGAATATACATAAGCATCCATTTATCTTAGCTTCAGTAAGAGAAAAGGGGTCTTCAAGTGCATTTTGAGGGGTTTTTTTTACATTTCTATTAGTAATATCCTTAGTAGTTAGTAATAAAAGTTATTTCTTTAGCAGTCTTACCTGCAATTGTCTTTCCATGGCATTTAGCTTCTTAAAGGTCTCTCCCATAATTTTACACAGCAAATCATATTCCTCAGCATGTTCTTCTTGATACTGGAAGTTTATTAGGGACTGGAGCGCATCAACCAAGTTCAAATGTTTAATAACACATGAAACTACCATCTCCTCCATTACATCTGGCTGAATCACTTCTCTGTTACAGATGGAAACCAAACTGATTAGCAAGGATACAACATCATTTATATTTACAGTTCACCAGCCACGGTATTCAAGAAATTTTCCTTTAGGAACTATTGAATGCACACCAAGTTGAGAATTATCTATTTCCATCTGATATTTCTGTGCTTAATATTATTGTTACAAATATCATCCTACATTTACTACTACTGAGGGATTGGAGAATATTTTTATTTAGTTTGCTTGCTTTATGCATTTGACAGCACTTTGTGTATCAATTTCAATAATAATAAAACATAAATTAGCAAAATAGTGGTGAAGAAACAGTTACTTACTTTATACTAGGTCTAAACTGAGGCCGAGCACGTCCAGATATTTCCCTGAGTTTTATCATGATTCCTGGAGGCAACCTGATCCTAGGCAGATCAAAGTAATGTCCTACAGGAGGAACTAGGACATCAGAAGGATATGTGAATTCTCGATCCTCATCTATAGTAAGAGGCAGTGGAGAAGGACTTGGAGTGAGGGCTGGAGATATTACCCCATTGGCCTCCACCTGCCACTGGCATCTGAGAAAATAAAGATAAACAGTTGCCCATATTAAAGAGCCTTTAGTTTCTTTCTAGCTCTTACTCTTCAGGTTGAGAAAGGCATAGTGCAACACCCTGCCTAAAAATATTGTATATATGGTTTTACTTCAGAACATGAAGAAAGTATGAGGTTCATGCTTCATAAGGGTTGGATACCACACCCATTGAAACCAATGGAAATTTTGCCACTGACGTAAACGAGAACAGGATCTGTCTTATAATGCAGAAGCCCGAAGCAGTCTTTATTGAGTCAAATTTTGACAAACCTTTTACCCCAAGTGAATTGTCACATGTCAAAGTTTGGAACAAAACATGAATCCACAGCCTCACAGCGCAGAAAAAGTCTACCTCATGGATTATGAGTAAGGCTACATTTTAGTCACAGGTATTTTTAGTAGAAGTCATGGACAGGTCATGGATAGTAAACAAAAATTCATGGCCCATGACCTGTCCATGACTTTTACTAAAAATACCAGTGAATAAAACTTGGGGGGGGGAAGGAGGGGCGGACAATGGGAGCTGCGAAGCCAGCGCTCTGGGTGGAGGCAACCCGCAGAGCCGCCTGGCCATGCCTCCACCCAGCTGAGCTGAGGTCGCCACTTCCAGGGAGCCCCACAGGTAAGCACTGCCCAGAGCCCACCTCACCTAATCTGGTGCCCCAACCCCCTGTCCCTCAACCAAACTCTGCTGCTGGGGGGGCAGGCACGATGGCCCAATACTGCCCCATCAGCAGCCGATGCACTTGGCGGAGGGGCTGCCTGGGCTGCCCCTGTGCCAGGCGCACTGGCTGCTGCAGAAGTCATGGAGGTCATGGAAAGTCACAGAGGTCACGGAAAGTCACGGAATCTGTGACCTCCGTGACAAACTCACAGCCTTAGTTATGATTACACCCTCTTCAAAAGTCATTGGGCTAACTGACAAGTTCAGAAAAGACAATGCACACAAACCAAGTCTATAATTTGTACCAAATAACCTCATCACACTTTGGGATCTGGTGCGGATCCTTGAGCCCAAATGTCTTTGTGGACAAGCAGGGGCCTTGTTCAGCATGGCATTTTTGGAGCTTTTAGGATCAGCAAACTAGTACCTTGGTCCTCTAAGGACTCTTCTGGAAGAACTTTGGAATTGAGGGGTACGCATTGGAAGGATGATTGGTGATATTAACCTTGGAGGTCACAGATGGACCAAGCTGGCCGGGCCAAACCCATTATTCTATAGGAGAGTGGAGAGCCCAAAATCTGCCCTGTGTCCCTAATATTCTGGGACCAACACTGCTACAATTACACTGCACACAATTACATTAAATTCAGACTAAAACCAAGATTTTTTACCTCTGTAACAGTTTAGATCTTAAGAGTTCCTGGCATGTTTCCTCGTCTTTCGTAATTTCTGGTCCATTATATAATATCCTTAGCATGGAACAAGCTAACACAGAAAGGCCTAAAGCCAGGTCAACCAAGAATGGTAATCCTCCTGACACATCTTCTGAAGACTCCTGCAGTATTGACAGGGATAAACCACAACAATCCAATTAACTTTAAAGTGGCTCTCTAAGCAATCTACTTCAAAATATGGCATGCATATCATACAGTGCCACAATAAAACAAGCTCTGGCAATTTTATTTATTTTTTACTTAACACTACAAATCAGAATGTATAAGAACTGAATTTGAATACACCTCTACCCCGATATAACGCGACCCGATAGAACACGAATTCAGATATAACGCAGTAAAGCAGTGCTCCAGGGGGGCAGGGCTGCGCACTCCGGCGGATCAAAGCAAGCTCAATATAACGTGGTTTCACCTATAACGCGGTAAGATTTTTTTGGCTCCCAAAGACAGCGTTATATTGGGGTAGAGGTGTACTAAGAAATTCATGTGCTTACAAAACTGGAAGCCATATAACCCAAAAGGACTAAATTATTTTTTTGAGGGCAGGCAATCCATCACCTCTGAAAACTCCATTTTATCTTCTCTTAGACCAGATTTTGTCTTATCTCCTGGGCACAGTGGTATGAATTTTTCTTCATAGTACTTGATCCCAGTTTCCTGCCTCTCCTCCCAAGTCTGTCCTAGAGCCATTATTTATACCTTTGATGCCCAGCTTACTAGTAGATACTCAACCCCCCAACCCCCACTGAACTCATATCCTGCAAGCCTGGATGGATATCTAGTGGTCTCCTCCAAGTCCGCACCATTGATGCTTCATAACAGATAAGCAGAGGGGACTTAGAACTGTCATCCATTGTTCCAAAGCCTAATCATACTACAAAGTGTGCCTAACCCTATCTAGCCAATGAAGAAGTGAGAGATCTAAGGCAGTAGTTCCCTTCCACTGTAAAGTGATGGCCATCCAAACAGCTGTTCTGTTGTTTTTTTAACCCAAACCCCAACATTTAGGTCTGTTTCATAAATACAACCACCATTTGTTTTTAAAATTAAAATAATGTACATAATGTAAATCAGAGAAAAATTTAAGTTCAGCTTATCTGACAACACTGGTCATATTGACAGTACCTGTGCTCGAACAGTGCAAGCAAAGCCCCACATAGCTTTGTCTGGAGTGTTGTGCTCACGGCCACTCCTCATTTCAAAGGAGAAGGTGACTGTATCCCCTTCCACCTTAAATTTTAAAGGGAGGGGAAAAAAGACACTTAAAACAATGCAAACACCTTTTTTTTTTATAAAACTGGCTTATTTTATGGATTAATTTTAAAAAGAATGACAGTTGCTTTATTTTAAAAATTCTCTTTATTTCCAATTATGTATGCTAATTAAGCTTTTCCCCTTTTCATGCAGATATCCATTTCTGATTACACCTTGGTTAGGTTTTGCTGCTTACTGTCTATAGTGGGGCAAAGGAAAGAATGTGTCGCCATATGGCTACTATGATAGCTAACCCAGGCAGACAAATTTCCACTAAAACCTTTTCTTTATTTTTTTGAGAGCACAGGCAACAATCACCAGCTCCTTTCCTGTGGCCAAACAGACAGGCAAGCTCTTCAAGTAGAGGAAGCTAGTAAAATAACTTAAGTAAACAGCAGGGGCTGCTAACAAAACGATGTAATTTCTGACAAAATAACATTATCATTGCTAATTTGAGCCACTGGAACAGAGTATTCCCAAGACTAGAACTTCCAAGTTGAAAGTCAAAGCACTGCTGTCTAACTGAACAACCACCTCTCGCTTTCCTCTTTGACAATGTCATATGTTTTATCAAGTACACATCCAATTTTAGTATAGGACAATACTCAGGATTATGCTTCACCACAACTACATAAGGGAAGTGATCTTACATAAGTCAGAGAGAACATACTGAACACATTCTAAGTTCACCAATCTTGATAGAGCTCCTATAGGTTTTTGAGAATCTCAGACTTCTATTTCTTGTTAAATATATGTTCCCAAAAAATGCATATTAACTGATTTAAAAAAAAACCAGACAAATGAGTAGGAGAGCAGAAATTGTTATATTTAATATTTTTAGTGGCTTGTGTGCAGTCCTAAAACTATGCCCCTATGGTCCTTGAGACTATTTGCATAGCCTCAGGGTCAGCAGGAACTTTTGCTATATATACTCATGGGGAATGGTAGTGTCCTGAAAGTCTCCGAGATTGGAAGTGCAGTTCTTTCCCGATTCCCCTACAAGATGTTGATTGTGGAATGCCATTACTGCCAAAATGAATACCATGCTCCTATAAAATATGGGCAACTGTAATGTTGTATGGGACAAGAGTTCCTTCCCCAAGGACATAAACACCATCTTAGCGAGTGCTCTCAAAGATAAGCTTACACTAAAATATTTGGGCTCCACTGCTAAAAATAAGAGTTAAAAATAATCCCTATGCAGTTTTCAAAAAGGGACTTTTCTATGTGAAATATTGTTGTTTTGTAATACTGTACCTTCACTAAGTCTTTCGGCCAACCCGTTCCTAAGACACTACGGCTGCCATATCCCAGTGTATTGCCTCCATACTCAGCAACCTTCCTACTGTTTGTGTTAGGACCAGCATAGATCACCAACTTCAAAACATAAAATACACTGTTAGACTGTAAAAGAAAAACAAAAAATCTAATAATAATACTTAGCACTTACACAGCGCTTTACAGTTTCAAAGCGCTTCACAAACATTAAGAAACAAATCCTCACAACAACCTTGTGAGGTTGATAGGCAGCCAGGTAAGTATTATTATCCCCATTTTACAGATGGGGAAACTGAGGCAGAGAGGGCTAAGTGACTTGCCCAACATCACACAGGAAGTCAGTGGCAGAATTTGGAATAGAAATCAGGAATTCAATCCTAGCTCTCAGAGTCCCATGTTCAACCCACAAGAACATGCTGCCTCTCTAAATAAAGGGCTGGATCCTGCTCCTTTTGAAGTTAATGGGAGTTAACAGTTTGCAAATGACTTCAATGGGGACATGATGAGGCCCTTAAAGTTTTTTTTTTTTTTTTTTTAAGTTGCTGAAAAGTTACTGGTGACAAAACCAGTAAGTCTTTCACAGGACTCAAACTACAATGTTAGAGAATACACAGCAACAATTACTAAGCAGTGTAAGTGGCTCTTAGAGTACACAGAAAATAAGGGTGGTACTTCATTAGCTATATTCTTGAAATTGAAAAGACATACTCATATTAATCCATGTAAACAAGCCATTTATAATCAAAGTTATCCTTTCCAGTTCTGCCCAGTTTGAACAAACTGTGCTGATCTACAAAGGAGACAACTAAATTAACGTTAAAGAAATAAGGAAAACTGGATGACCAAAAAAAGGAGAATGAACTCAACATGTTTTACAATAAAGAGGAATAATCTAAGCAGTCATGAAATGGATGTCAACAGGGAATGTTGGTCTGGGTTTGTAGGGGAGGTAACCTTTCTGAGGGTTATTACATTTCTTCCATTGAATTACCATCACCACATTCCAGCACCTTAGGAGAAAAGTTCTGTACAGAACCTAATTCTTTAAGGATCTACCAACTAAGTTTCCTGTTAGACAACAGTGACATTCACTGGATGTTATGTTCCAAAAATGTCCTTTGTAAATGTTTAGCCCATACTTTTTGACCTTTTCTTAATAAAATTATAGAAATTATCCCCCACAAAAATCAGAGATGGAAAAGATCTATTAAATCATCCAGTCCAATCTCTCTGCCATTTCAGGATAGCTCCCTCATATATTTTCTAGTCTATAATGCAACCTAGTTTTACACGTGCTAAGAGATGAGACTGACACATTTCCCCTGAAGTTATTCACAGCTGCCTACTACCCTAAATTTCTTTTCATCTCTAAATTCTAGGATTCTAGGGACAATCAGCCCTTGTGGAATTACAGTATGTTAGTGCTGCTGTTAGTAAAAACCTCCCACATCATCCTCATTACTAGTAATAAGGTGCCATGGATGAGGAGAAGCAGCAAAGATGAAAATGAGAAACATTAATGAAAGACACATAATAAAGAAGTTTCTGTACTGGCCCTTGCTTACCTTATCATAATCGTACTGTGAAGAACATCTGCTATCAAATCTAAGGTATAAACAGCGAGCTCCTGGAATATGTACAGTTTCTTTAAATTTATAGTTGTCCCTGACAGGATGCACGGTTTCTACAGTTTTCCCAGCAGCCCACGGAGCTGGGATTTTCAAGCCAGTGAGAAAACCTGGCTCCTCTTTCTCTTCTAGCATTCTGAAATCACAGAAAAAGCTAAAAGGTAGTACTGACGATGTACATATATTGTTTTGCATTGTATATTCAAACACCACCATAAAATGCTTTTAAAAGCCTAAAAATTCTCTTCGGGTTACTAATGGCAAACAAAATATTTGTCTAATCACTTTAAGCAGTTGTGTGGAGGGTACAATGGCAGCTTAAATAACCTGAGCGCTTTAAATTACAAATAAAATATGTCAAGCTGTAACCAGTAAACTTGGATATGTCACAGTTTTAGAAATCTAGAAATCCCTGGAAAAAATTATATCTAACAAGTAATGTATTGTACTATAAACCGGTTCCAGTCTCTGAATTTTAATACATAATCCATCTTCCCTCCTGGGATAATGCTTGATAAAAGATAAAATCACCATAAAAGAATATATACGTAACATTTCATTCAAGTCTGTGCAAGTCTGGAGTGGAAAGGAAGTGGCTGCATTTACCATATCTCAAAAAATCTGCTTTCAAAACTACCAGTGCAAATAGGAAAAGCTAAATATGACATTAAACCAAACTTGCACACGATAACTGGATTTACGTTGAGGCTGTATTCTTTTCATTTGTGACCTAAGATTTAAAACCAGGACTAGAGATAAATTACATCTTGCCCTTTACTACTTAAAAATCACAATGAATTTAATATACTCTATGCTGCTATAGTGAACCACATTTTGTTATAAAGCTCTCTATGATTCTACACATTGACCTAGGGCTCAAGCATGCAGAAATCTTTTTCCAAAGCTAGAGAGAGCACACACGCATGCTATACTTCATCTAAGCTTCCCATTAGACCCATATTTCAACTCTTTATGGGAAATTATTTCTTTTCAAAAAATTAAATGCACTTTGTAAAGTCTTGTTCTGTAAAATTGCTTTGTAGATTCAGACTACTGTAATGCTGACCCCTTAAGATCCTTGTTCTATGAGTCACTTTTCAGCAATGGTCAGACCAGGAGCAACATAATTAAAAAATGAGTGTTTTCAATATAAAAGTCGTGAATATTGGGAGTAAGAGGCAATCACCTCTCATCAGGGAACAGCTTGCCCTTCTGCTCTGATGTACCACTGGGGGAACTGCCCACCTCTGAGAAAACTGGAGACTGGGTTTTAAGCAACAAGGCCGTCTGCAACAAACACAAACAACTTTAACAATACATAAACACCATGTTTCACTGTAAGAACCATGTAGGTTTCTGAAGCTTGTTAATATTACGCTGCATAGTTATTAATGCTGTAACTTAAACTGGATGGGGCACAATGGATAGCATCTGTTTCTGTTACTAGTAGTTGCCAAGCAGCAGTTCCTGAACTGTGATCCATGGAACACTTGCTGATGGTTTGTAGAGAGCTGGCTGGAAACATGCCACCAGCTCGCCTCATTGTTTCTAGTTGCTAAATCACATATTTTTTTAAAAAGCTAAAAATAAATTAAATGCTTTCCTATTATTACTTTTCCAGATAAACAACTGCTGTAGTTGCCACAGGGACATTGTGAAATTGCCCATGCGAAGGGAAGTGGGCATATGAAAATCTCTAATAGGATATGATCCTCACCATGCAAGTTTGAGAACCCTTGAGCTAACAAATTAAGGAAAAAAATTATTTTAGTTAATGTAGCTGGGTAAACACCATCAAAAATTAGAAAATTCTCCATGTGTTAACAGTTTGGAGAAATTTGCTGCTAGCTGGAACATATAAGGACTTGGTCTTTTCACCCTAGACCTTAAAATGTGTTTCCTTGTATGTGAACAACACAAGGACAGCTTTGATTCAAAACAATAACAAGTGATTAGTTCTTATTACACGTTTATCAATCTTGGTATTGTGGAAGAACCCCACCAACAGCACAGCTCATTTTGGAGAACTAACATTTCACCATTATTCCTTACTCTTGATATTTTACCCTGGTATCCTTCATGAGAATACCATCGATAAGTTAAATATTTATGTGTTTAAATTTGTTTTAAAAATATGTATATTTCAATCCACTGTAGAAAGGCCATACCTGACTGGTATAAAGTACCAGCTGTACCAGCTGAGGCATCAGTGCATCGGCCATGGTGAGGGTCTGTAAATTTGGATGCATCAGAGATGTCAGTAATACCGGAAGCAGGTGACCAAGCATAGTAGCCTTGGTAACTTGTTCCAGGCCTTTTAACCTGCAACAAGAGTCAAAAGTACACACTAACAATTCTTTTCACAGACCCACTACTATTTTTATTTAAAGAAAAGAGTTTAATACCAAATCAGATTGCGTAAGTAAATGATTCAAAGTGCAGCAGTAAACTTTTATGGGCAAGTGTATTGAGAAAAATCTGTCTATTTTATTGTCTACTGAACACTCCAGAATCTCATAACATATATGATAAGGTTCACAATCTTTTCTGTTAAGCAATGACAGTCCTAGAAGACTGTTTGCTGAATGATAATTAAATTCTTAATTTACTGTAGTGCCCAGAGTCTCTGGTTGGAATCAAGGCCCCCAATGTGCTATGCGTTGTACCAACACAAAGGTAGACACAGGGCCCAGTCCACAACTCCTTACAATATAAAAGTGCTGTAAGGCATCTGAGTCTCCAAGACTACGTATGAGGAAAAAAACCCACAAAAAATCCAAATCTGTATGTATGACAATAAGAGAGCAGTCCAAAAAAAGGGACGTATTCCAAAAACACAATACAGACCCTATGGGTGCAAATAGAATATGCAGCTCAAAGCCTAGAGTCTGAAACAGGATTTTTTTCTAGAAAAGCCTTCCTTCATTCTGGATATTTTCAGTTACTTATTTTTAGGCCTAACTCTTCTTTTTTCAACATGGAGACATTTTCAAAACCCTCAATAAGATTTTGGGAGTTTTTTGTTTTCCAGTCCCAGGTTTCACTTCCTGCCTGAAGGAAGAGGGCAGAGGGAGCTGCTTGGATGATATATGAAGGGTATTAGAGTAGCACCAAGGAATGTGACTGATACAAATGCTGCTGCCAAGGAGATCTTCAGGAGATAAAGACCCTAAACTACAGAATTTCTAGCAGGATGGATTCCAAAAGGATGTTGGCAATTAAGGTTGTTTCCAATTATTATAATGTTTATTAGCCAAGTAATTGGACTAACTATAGAGCTAAAGAGGCTTACGATTTTCGAGTGTCTCTGCTGATCTGTATATTATGTTAATACGACTGAAATCAATTTACGGAAAGCCCGATTCAAAGCTCTCCAAAGGAAGACTGCCTTAGGGATGCCAGAGGATAATTCATATTAAGAAATAGCTCCAAGCCCTTCAATAATTTGATCATTAAATTAAAAACAAAAATAAAGGGAGGTAAGAATTCTGATAGTATTAGCTTCCCTTTACTAAGCAAGCTGGTTCACACAATGGGCAGCAGCTCATATATTTCAGGCTAAATGTATGAATTCAGGTTGTCTTACCTCTGCTCTCTGTCAGAAATGTCACTGTTTATAAGAGCTGTAGTGACCTGTTGCAGCATTTCTAAAACTTCATCACATCCAGTCAGGATTTGTGTAGCAAGAGCCAAAATACTGGTCTTTAGCTCCTAGGTACAAAATGTTATACAATAATACTTAAATTCCTAGAGAATAAACAACTGACAACTGAACAAAATGATGGGTTTCCAAATTAAATGATGATAATGTGACCTGGCAAGTCTATGGTAGTGGATTCATCCAAGACTTAAATTTGATTTGTAATGCTAAGCCCTAAAGTGCTGGGAGAAACTAGGTGCATTTTACAGGATGCACTCGCAGTTTCTAGGGAGGGAAGGAATCCTCAATCCAGCACAGGAAAGTAGCCAGCCAGAGTACTGCAGTGGTGATAGAATGTCCTAGAAGGTATGAGGATAACTGTAGAGAGAAACTGAACAATGAGAACATGGATGAATAGTGAAAAAGACAGACAATAGTACGGAAACATTTAGAAGTTACTCAATAAGCTTAAACATAAATGGCATTAGATAACAAGCATACAAATGCCTATAAAAAGCAACAGACAGAAACAGCCCAATGACATTAGCAATACAATTAGTAAGATTATGAGATAAGTTACAAAAACAACCTGAGCTTTGGGACAAAACTGAATTATCTACTGATAACACTACTCTAGCAGCAGTGTAAATGTAGTCACAATTTAGTAAACCTCAAATCAATGAAACAACCATAATCCCCCAACTTCACCTTTCCCCCAGCTCCCTGTGGGACAGGGAGAAAAGATGGGCCTTGCAGCAAGCTCTGAAGATTAGCAAAGTCATGCTAATAGAGACCAGGGGAAACACCGTTCCATTTTTAGTTAAAAAACAGCAAAAATTTTATGAGTGAAGTCAATAGTTACAGGAGGCCAAAACATCTTCTGAAAGCAGTAAGTTTATATATAAAAATCTCTAGAGTTAATGTTTTCTAAAATTGTATTCCAAAGCTAGTCTAAATATGACATTAAAAAAATACATGAAGTCCAGAAGACACTTTACATTCTTTAACAGCCAAGAATGAAACACCTTCACACAGAATTTTAGAAGGAAAGTGCTGGCAGACTCTAACAATATAGTGTCAAATGAATCTATACAAAGAACAATCACAGATTCTAGCTGAAGTATGGGACAGTATTGACTTCCACTATATAACTTCTTCAACACAACAAAAACTGACAACACAAACAGATTCTACCAGTAAGTTGCACTCCTGAAACATAAGACCTGTCAGAAGAACACTGGCTGTAGAAAGCAGTACTAGAATAAAACTCGGTGTTTACCTGTACCTTCAATGTCTCTCCCTGCAAGGAGCTGTCACTGTCATCATTTTCATCAGGTTTAATCAAAATAGTATTACTCAGAAGGTGGTTCTGTACAGCCATCAGATACCGCAAGCATGAAGATGCAGCCTTTAATATAAATAAGCACATTTTACATTATCTGAACTCTTTAAATCAGACTTGGCACAGGCAATCCTTGTGCTTTTTTAAAGTATGAAAAAGGAAACAAGTAGGGGGGAAAAGTACAAGAAAGATACAAAATTACTGCTATTGAACAAATTATTGTCGCTGAGTTACATGGTTCTTGTTAAATCAGCAGAATCTCACCAATTCATACTGAAGGCTGGAAGACCAAAATATTTAGTGAACTAATAAGTAGGTGGAACATTTAAAAAGAATGAAGCATCATAAAGCATTAAATTTGTTTCAAAAACGTAGTCGTAATTCAATACTAAATGTGTATGTGTATATGTTTTGTGGTGTATATAATAAAAGTAATGAAGTCTTAACATGAGACCTCACTGCAGAGCTCAACCATGAAATCTTTGCTGAAAGGAGACGCACACTCTCTGGTGTGAGATTCGAGGTGTGCAGGTCAACAAGACTGAAATGAGAATTAGTAACTTTACTAACATAGTAAAGTACTGTAGTAAATCTGAAAACAACAGATCCCAAACCTCATCCCACTTATTACTTCCCCATTACTGCAACCTCATGTTCTCCTACTCATTAACGGTTGTGCAAGAATATCTATGTGAATTTTTACTACTAAAAATTTCAGCTCTTTACTCATCTCCCAACTCTGAGCATACAGTATTCCTCTCTGCCTATATGCATAATTAAACACAACTCTAAAAGGTTCTCTCTATATTCTAATCCATTTTATAAATCACTCTATGAAACTTTGAAGGACCTTATACAAAAATAAATGTTAAAACTGAGACAGTTTGCAAGGTACCAGGGAAAATGTATCAATATATAAACCTGCTTTCACACTATTATACAAGATCTCTTTATAATGAAAGTGTCCTGCCCCCCTTTCTATTCATGAGCATTTTAATTCAGTAATATTAATCAGGTTTTATTTTTGCAACAATATGCACTTAAAAACTCCCTCCCCTATTCTTTTTCAAGACTGTGTTATTGTATACTTGTACATAAAAGGGCTGGAATCAAGAAACAGAAAGAAAACGTAAGCAAATTGAATATTTTCGACAAATACATTTTACTTACAGGCACAGTTGAAAGCAGTCTTTGAAATTCATCTTTAGATACAATTTGGCACTTGGTGATTAAGATGCAAGATTCTCGAACAACAATCTTGAGAATGTAGTGCAAAAGCTCATCGTTTAGTCTTTAAAAATGCAGGAAAGACATGAGGAGATGTTGATGATTTATAATTAAAGAAAATTAATGACCGATACATTCAACACACCTGAAAAGTCTTGACAAATCATATTACAAATTAGGTTACACTGACTGAATGACTGCATCAGAGAAGCTCAAGCCCTAATATGCTCAACCAAAGCACTCTGATATCAAAGATGTTTGAAAAATAAAATGTCTCTTACCACAGTATTATACAAGATAGATATAGCTCTGGCTTGTTTAAAATATCAGTACATTCTGCATTCACTTTGCTCACTGTACCTCCAGAGAGTCCATATCAAGTGAAGCCTTCTTTTTTAATAAAAAGAAAACCCTTCCAAACTTCAATCTTTAAGTAAACGTTAGAGCTTCTTGAGGGTGATAGTCTTAGTGCTGAAGAGTGACACGTAAAACACAGTAATATGGAGCGTAATGTTAGATTATAAAATGTCATCTGCTCTCATTTAACTATCGAGGAATTCACAAAAATCTCCTCCAAACCACTTATGTAGTTCTACAGAAATCTCCAAAAGTTCCATAATACCTCAAACCCTCAGGGGAATTCAGTGCTTTTAGCAAACAGTACAGTATGTACACAAGGCTAGCATTAGCTCAAACTGCAATAACAAAGGGAATCAGTTGTTTAGACAGGAAGTAACTCAGTTTACAATAATGCTGACAAGCCAAATGCACTTCAATACAAATTAAGAGCGACAATTGTGTTATTTCACTTTACCTGTAATGATCGTCATCTTCACTTCCAAATCTGTTGTTCTGAAGCTGTTCAGCTAAGTTAGTGAGGATCACATCACGAAGTTGGGAGAGCCCACTATTTCTCTCTCCTACGATGGCAGAACATGAAAAATATTGTAAAACAGCCTTTTTTAGATACAATTTTTTATTAATTCATAAGGAATGTTGCTGGACATACACTACAGACTAACAGTAACTATGCTTACAATTTATTGTGATTCTCCAAAGACATACAAGCAGTTTGGGACTTACTACATATGCAGTACTGTTTTAAATTTTGAGACGACTCACTGATTTTAGTTGAGTGGAAGATACCACTAATGTGGTCGACAATGTAGGCTCTCTACACTCATGCATATCAAAGCTTATTGTGTCTATTTTAAGATGAAGTATGATATGCAGTTGTCAACTGGTGCCGTTTCCACAGAAATGGGGATAACTAATGACACCATCAACACGTTAAAATGACCACTTCGAAGTATTTGCATTCATTTCTATTAATTTAAAGACTCTATGTATTATTTCAAGACATAACATTGGATTTCTTTGTAACCTCAATGCATCACAACAATCTAAAGGGTAAAACAAAATCTAATAATAAACTTGTACAGGTATCATTGGGCACATGGGACCCCAGTAATGAGCGAGTGTTGAGAGAATGCAGAATCGGTCAGCGCTACGCTCGGCTGATGCGGCAACTAATGGTGTTGGACGCCATCAGGTGGTCGAGCGACATCTACCTAGAATGCATCACCGGATATCGGCAATAACAGGAGGGATGAGCTGCAGTGCTGATGAGAAGTGCAGTGGGGAAAGTAACTGAAATACTTTCTTCATGGATTGTATTTTACAACTGCACAATCTACCCTAAATGCTCAATTACTGAGGGACAATCTACACACATTCTTATATTTGCTTTCTACAACCAACTCTCTGTATAACTTTTCATTAGTGATGTACCCGAGTATTCGGATTCTAATATTTAAACTGTATTGCTAAATTTATTCACCTTAATTTGGGTTATTCCTGATTATGCACTATATATATATATCTTATGACTTTTTAAAACAAACTTTGTATTGTGGATAATCTAAGCAATATACCCAGATGTACAAACACTCTCTTCTTAACCTGTGTGCTCTATAAATTTTTTTTAGCACTGGTGACATTTTTAGTTAACATCATCATCATCATCATCATCTTGTTCATCATTATGATCTCTGTCGGGAATGAGTGGGTTATCATAGTCTTTACTGCCTTGGCATGTACATAGGTCTATGCAGGGAAGACTGTCCTGGCTACAGACAGTTGACTGTGCAGCGACCCCTACTGGTACAAATAAGGTCTTATAGAAACTCAGATGCCATTGGGCCCTTGAAGAATACAGGAAGTAGTTCATCATCCATATTTTTCCACCCGTGTTGCAATGGTGATCCAATATCTGGTTTACTTATGTGCAAAGACATCCAAATCTTTGTTTGCCAAGATGCTCTTTTGACAAGCTCTTCAAAACTGTCCTCACATGGTGAGAGTTTGGCCAGTGACTTGTCCTTTTTGATGGCTAGATTGAGGCACAAGCAATTCAGGTCTCTGTGGGTCTTTTCTTTTTTTGTCTGACCACAGCACTGTTACCAACTTCTTTGCTGCAAAAACTGTGGCTTGTCCAGCACTCTCTTCCAATTTGGCAAGATCTCTTAAGTGGTAAGTTCCCTTTGTTTTGACAACATAATTTTTTTCCCGAGCACCAAATCGGGATGACACAGTCATCCTGTTAATATGTACACAGGAAGTACATGCATCACAAATTGCATGCACGGGTATGAAGCAACGCTTGTCATCTGTGCTGGTAATGGTACCTGTTTCAATCCGCACATTATCTGTATGTTCCATTCTTGGAAAGAAGAGAACAGCAAGGATCAAAACATGTGCATCAGGTGACCTAATTACTACAGTTTCTTTGATACAAAGAGACTCAAATGCCATACTGGTATATACATCATGCAGAAGCATTCTTCTGTCCACTTCCACTTGAGTGCTGTGCAAGTCCTGGGCTTCCGCAATATCTCTACTGGTGATGGACTTTGCTCCTTCACCATTGGAAAAGACTCAATCAAGGAGTATTTGTGTTGGGTGTGCTCCTACACTGTCAGGTAGATTTTGAACCATAAATTCACAGAGGAATTTTACAAGTGACTGCTTACTGGATGCTAACTTTAGAAACTTTTTTCACTGAGGCACAGGATATCCACCAATGGTCTGGTATTTCTTGCATCCATCCTTTTAAATCCTGTCCAGCACTGTCTTTCTGCAGTTTTCAGTTACTGTTGTCATATTTGTCTTCAGACTTCGATTACAGAATTAGATTTGTCAAATCCTTTTGGACCTGCCTCATATACTCGGCAGCCCATTCATCGAACGTGTGGAATTTGTCTTCAGTCATCATTTGTATGACAGCTACGGCATCTCGGATGTACACTGTGGTTTCTTTGTTGCATGCTCTTAGCTCATGAATTATTCCAGATTGATTTTACAGCTGATACCCTAATTTAGCTTTGTCTGTTCTTCTCATTGTTCCATCAGCGGGACAAAGGCACAGGTCTTACTGGCTGACTAAGAACAATTCCCATTGAAACATCATCACTGCATCTTGCAAAGGACAAGGCTCTGTGGAAAACTGGTATCTGCTGTGATTGTGCCTCCCTTGCCAAGCTTAAATTTGTTCTTCTTGGCCATGTCAGCAAGTATTTTGATGCCAGATTTCTTGATTGGGCGGCTGAAGAAGCTGTCTCTCTCTTCAGAATCAAGTGCACTTCTCACAAATCTCTCCATTTGTTCTTCATCAACATCTGCTATTTTCAGTAGAGCTCCTGTAACACTGATGTTACATGCAGTTTAGTAGATATTTTGATAAGTACCCCTGGATGTGCTTCAGGGTCAAATGGGTTTGTCATATTGTTGATGACATGGTTGGTAAGAGCTATAACATGCTCTTCATCCCTCTTTAGTGCAGAGGCAAGGACTTGTTTGTGGACTTAGTCTTCATTACTTCTGGTTAGGTCACTTCTTTCTCTCATAGCTTTTACATATTCATAATATGAAGCTGTGTACTGTCATCTCTAACTCTAATACTGACCTGTGCATATGTGTAACTGAATTAAAAGCTAATTTCTAGAATATTTCAAAGCCTAGTACTGCACGCATAGGCAATTACAAATTAAAACCTATAAAGCAGACTAGATGCTACATTGTATGTACAAAATCTTACCAATGGTAAAGCATTATATTAGGAATTCACATACATTTATATCTACCCACTACACCGTACGAACTATGGGCACATAATCTACTGCTACACAACCTTCAGTGAGACTGATGTGGTCAGCAAATTTCAATTGAAAATATAGAGAACTATTAAAATCACTTATGAGAGATTTTGACAATTAAGAATGTGCAATGTGAAAACAATTCGTGTTAGCATATTGCAAAATGTTGGTATTCACCATTTTTGCCACATGCTAAACAGCTTCATAATTTTTGGGGAAAATAAATACTTGCCCATGTAAAACTAATACACATATTTTACTACATTGTCGTTTGGTAGCTTTGAACACCACATTAAGATACTGAAATTAACTTAAACAGTAAAAACTGTAGTCAGTGATGTTGCAATGTTTCTGGAACTGCAGAAAAAATGACACTCAATTGGAGTCTCATTGTTTCACCTCACCTACAGATTTACGACACCACTTGACAGTTCCACATCGTCCCTCATCTACACATACATAAAATAGTTTTTCAAATGATATACAATGGAGATGTGTGTATGACAAGGGCCCTTTCTGAGGAATTGCTGCGTACTTACTAGGTACAATATTCAAGCTAGACAAAGTACATTATGAATAATGTCAAAACAGATTTGTAAACCTTTCTAGTTTTAAGTTAGATCTTGCCATTACTCTGATACAGTGTTTCATCTTCCCCACACATCCAGGCAAAGCATTGAGAATTTAAAACATTCTGTAACTTCCAAGGAGATGCTAGTTTATGATAGTCTAACATTCAACCTTTTTCCTGAACTTCTTTAATTCCAGAAATAAAAAGTACTAACAGGAAAAAAGACAAAACTGCCCTCTTTCTGCTTAGTTTTTAAATTTAAAAAATTATTCTCCAGAGTATCAATAAGAACTCACCTTCCGTCAAGACCAACTTAAGTAAGTTATTAATTTCCACTTCTCCAGGATATAGGATATTTAAGCCAGAGCTAAGAAGAAAAAAAAAGGTGGGGAGAGGGAAGAATCAAAAGTCGAATTTAACATTTGTTTATAATGAGTGAAAGGTAAATAGTTCCATTATAAACATGGGAAACAGAACATTAAAAATTGGAGCTTACAATTGTATAGCTATCACCCTTAGAATTATTCCATATGGTTGCCTGAATTTTTATAAAGAGATATTTTTATACTAAGGAGAGATGTCCAACACATCTTAGCATTTAGATTAATTTATCTGTCATATAATTGCAAATGTTTCCTCTGTGATTTCTGCTAATCAAAGAAGTTTTGTTGTATAAGCAGAGGATTTCCCCCTCTCTGAGCCATCTGCTCCCTCCTGACAAATCCTACAGTAAAGTCTTCATTGTAACATATGATAGCACAGTCATTTCTATAACAAATAGACCAATGTCAAACACAGGATGACGGCTTTACTGCAAATCCAAGCAGAACAGTGGTGGAGAGAGGTAGAAAGCAGCAAATCAAATATCTGAAATAAGAGCTATAGGAAATGAAAGCCAGTAGCCAAGAACTTTTACTGCTATTAACATCTTTAACCTCATTAACCTTTGACCCATTATGGAAATCCTTCTTTAAACTAAGTGGGGAGCCAGAAGTACAGTAATGTCTCATACCAAACATAAGTGTGTGGTCTACTGTTCATTTTACAAGAGTGAACTAGAGCCAAGATTTCTGCAGTTTTTTCCCAACTCAGTCACTGACTCCAAGGCTGATCACAGTCAAGAAATGTAGCCTTAGAATAGCCATCACCACCTGCAGAGCCTATATTTCATAGTACTTTACAACACAATTCATTTAATTCAGAATTTAAGTCAGAAAATATGAACCTCAAAGTTAACTTGGAATGTATTATTACTACAATAAGAAGAAATCCTTCCTGATCTGCTCCTTTGCTTACATAAGCTACAATGCTTTAATGTATTTGCTGACCAAAAACAATGAATCTAGTCAAATACTGTAACAACTACTTAACTGTTCTATGAATATCCGCTGTGTAAACAGTCAGCAGCATATATAAAACCTGAAAAGCCGGCCTTCAAACCAAAGAGGTACTCCTATTCTCTAGTACATTTAAATGGCTGTATACATTTTGTAACTTAGTGGTTTATAAGAAAGGCACACAGGTTGATCTTTGGAAGATTTTGTTCTCAAGCTTTGGAAGATTTCCCACTTGAAAGCAGATTTACAATCTGTGATTAAGACACCTGAGACAACATTCTTTGCACATTTTTGGATTCTCTTGATACACAATTGCATTTTTTCCACTTTATTGTCCTCAACTTGGTCACTCTGTTGTCATGACAAACCACAGAAAAGTTTCACAGCTTGTAGCTCAAATGAGACAGCAGTGCCGTTCAGGCTCAGTGACACTGCTCCTTCAGCACTAGTGCCCAGTGTGCTGGGGAGCTGAAGCATCTGCTTGGATATTACTGTTAGGTGCTGATGCCGCAACACAAAGACATTGGGCTCACCCCATCCCAGGACGTCTATACAACACACATTCCTCATCCCTAAACACAAGTCTCCCGCCACCCCAACCCACCTGGACATCCTTGCAACCCATTTCATACTTTTCCAAAATCATCCTCAACCTATAGCATCCCCAAACCCCACTCACTCCACTTGTCTCCACACCCCTGGTCACCCCCCGCAAAAAAGTCTCAAATCTGCTTTCTGAAACATTGCTCTAACCACCATCATTTACACAGATTCTTTCACCTCAGAGCATATATAAACCACACAATTTAAAGTAGGCATAATGTAGTTATTGCATACTGCATCACCATCGCCACTTAATATAACATCCTGCATTTTTCTTCCCCTCCAAACCAACCAAATTTGCAAGATCTGATCATATTTATCTAAAATTTGCCACAGGCATAGTTTACACACAAAATCCTGGATTCTTATAATAAAGTTCAGATTAGCTGTATTTTTAACTTGAATGGCTCGGTGAACTAAGAAACAACAGTAAACTAAGAAACTACAGTCAGGTTATGATTTTTCATAACTATCATTAAGATCTTAGTTTCACTTTGTTTTGACAAAGTAACATTGGTATTTACCTGATTGCTAGACAGACCTCCTTCTGAATTTCAGGGCAAATCTGGCTCTTTGGTGCCATCAATAACTGCCAAAGTAAAAGGCCAGACCTTCTAACAATGTCTCTGTTTCTCTCAGTTTGGGGGCTGAAGAAAAATTTAAAAACCACCTACAAAAACGATAGTTAGAAAATACAGCAATATTAAAAACAAATTTCTTCTCTACTCAAGAAAAGTGCTTCATACAGGAAAGCCCCTATAACATAGTAGCTCAAATGGAAGCAGAGTTAGGCCAACTTTAAAGATTTTTATGGCCAACACTCTAAATAATTTCTCCAAAGTTGCTCAAAGTTGGTGGTAATCAGGAATTGAATCCAGATCTACTGAGTCTGTGATCAGTGCCTTAACAAAAACTAGACAAACCACCCTTGTCCTTGAGCAAATAACTTAACATCTCTGGATCTTATCCAATTTGTAAAACATAGATAAGAACTCATAGGGGTCTAATTTTAGACTATAACACATTCTAGAAATGCAAAATAAGAAGTTATCTCTAGGTTAATGTCCATTAGCTCTTCTCTACTCAATACAAAGTCATGATTCATTTAAAAAAAGGCTTACTTGTTGATCTGCATTCTTAAAGTCTCCTTTCCAGAGTTTATTTTAAAATATATTTAAGATTTGTTTATACCTGAAAGACAACAAGGATGCAGCGTATAATGCAAGTATCTCCATTCACCATAGCTTTCTCCATGATGTCGCAAATGCTGCTGAGATGGTGTGCTTCAATTGGATGTTGTTTGCCCAAAAAATTTGTGATTGGGAGATTGTTACTGGCTGCAAGCAGATTTAGTTGGTGTATGCACATGGCACCAACATGGTGCAGTAACTGGTTGATGACCTCATTTGTGGTTATAGCATCTCCTGAAAGAAAAAAATAAATGGCCATGCTTTTCTCTATGAACACAGAGGGGCATATATCAAGTTTACATTCCTTTTTAAAATAGGTTATGAAACCATCATTAGCATCACTGAAATTCTGTGAAATAGCACTTCAGAACCATCATCTGCATTAAAGGCAAGAGATTTCTGTTCAAGTTTTTAGAAGTGTTAAAAGCAGAAGTCAGAAAACTAATAAACATGCACAAAAAAGCTTTTTTCTTATCTTCAATAAAGATCAAGTAATTTTGTAATATGCTGTAACTAATCTTGTGGCTTTCTGAAGAAAGTATGTTCAGTGCTTTATGTGAGTTTAGATTACGTTAATCTCATATATTACTTACACTTATACAAAGTGCTGACTATATGCTCACCTCTAGGCTCTGTGATGATATGACTAACTCCCAGTCTCTGACAGACATAATGGAATGCTTGGTTTCCAGGATTACACCATTGATCAATATAGTCATTAGAGCACGTCCATATCATGTTATTCATAGTATCATAACATGCACCTGAAGAGAGAATATACAAAAAAAATCAAAATAGTTTTTATTTATTAAAAAGTTGTCTGCTGATAGTATTTTCTATTTGAATTGCTTTCCAAGAAAAAAATTCCAACATTGCTATATCAGATGTGGATTTAATGTGTTTTCTAAAGTTAATTCAATTACATTATGTGACACATCAAGCTGCATAAATATAAGGGTTAAGAATAACGATCTTTTAAAGCAAATTTCCTAATATGGTTAGTGCAAACCCCTCATGCACCAACAAATAAACACCTTAAGTGCTATATTTCGAATTCCTGTGTCCTTATCACTCAAATTGCCTGCTACCAATTAGTCAACTGGCTGAAATGCTGGGGCTAGCATCTTATGCTCAGGGGTCGGCACCACCATGTTGCAGGACAGACACTTGACAAAATTACCGTACTTAGTGATGGACATGGAGGGAGAGGGGGGAAAATGTTATGTCATTCAATTTTTTTAAAAAGTTACCATGGACCTCAAAATTTTTACCCTTGCTTATGCTGCTGTTCAAGAAAAATAGATAAAGCAGTTTCAAATATTTTAGCTCTCTCTATTCACAATTAATTGCATTTGTTTTTAATTTAATAGCCTTGCTGTTACTACTTTGCAGGTTATTTAGAGCTGGTGGCATGTATGGTGCTGTGCAACTGGTGAAGAGTGGTGGGCAAACAGACCTCTGACCTGAGGAGCTTACAAGTGGGCACAATACATCGAAAAAACAAGAGAGCGTCATAGCTGGATCTTTAGAAATTATATAAAGGAGAGAGAGGAAAAGTATGAACTTGGCAGTATCCCCACTGCATGAGATTGCAGAAAATTCTTCTGTAGGCTTGTCTAGACTAGGATAGAAGATATTTAAGCACATTTCAAAACTCAAGGGTAGACTGGACTAGTTGTATTGTGACAGACGTTAAGCGGATTGAGGTGAACCTTCAGCTTGATTGATTAACATGTTAACATACTCCTAGCCCTGTCTGCGCTAGAGTTTCAAAACATGTTGGCCAAAGTGTTTTAACGAACATTTAAAAAAATTATACCTTTGATCCTTAACGCGAGTCCTATACAGATCCTAGTTAACATTTTAATTAAGCATTGTTTAAAACCTGTTGGTATCTATTATATGGAGATATAGTTATCACATAGAACTGGAAGGGACCTTGGAAGGTCATTGAGTCCAGTCCCCTGCCTTCACAGCAGGACCAAGTACTGTCCCTGACAGATTTTTGCCCCAAATCCCTAAATGGCCCCCTCAAGGATTGAACTCACAACCCTGGGTTTAGCAGGCCAAAGCTCAAACCACTGAGCTATCCGTCGCCAGCTATCTAGCATAGCCGGTGTTTAACAATTTATTCCTGTTCTATTTTGTATCATTCTGACTACTGAGCTGGCAGAAGCAATCCAAGTCCAGAATGCAAATGCAAGTGAAGTCGTGAAAACCAAAGTCACAGGGAAATAAGAAAATATAAGCAGAACATCTTCCTGGTTAATACATTTATTTTTTAAAGTGAAGATAGGAAAGTTCAAATCTTCTAAACACTGACTTTCTTTTAAGAGTCTGTAATACAACAGATATTAAAAAAACTTCCAAGTTCTCTCCACCTAAGGTCAATACCTCTTCTCACTCTCTAGGAGACAGAGTGCACCTTCAAAACTTGCAAACCAAAGCATAAGAAACCAGGAAAAAAGCTTTCCTTTAGAATTTTCACATCACATCTTCTAAGTTGTAATTTTATTTAATTTTTACCAAAAAAAAGTGGAAGTTACTGGAAATTGAAAGAAATAATTTAGAAAATAGAGATTACTATCTCCAATACTGAATGTCCCTAAAAATAAATGTATTTCTTACCAAGTCCTGGTATTAGAGCACCACGTCCAAGTGAACTTCCTGCGGCATCAATGAGATCTGCTCGGCTTGTGAACTGCCCATCCGAAATATTGTATACCAAGCTAGAAGCAAGAACTTCAAAAAAAAATTCTCCAATTAATTTCTCAAACGTTTAAAATATGATAAAGAAGAGAGTCTCTGAAATCTGCTGTAAGGATAACAAAAAAAAGAACTTACTTTTCAAAGATGACAAACCACTTGTCCCACCAAACAGTGATCGTGTCGCAGAGCTGCCTGACCCACCTGGAGGTGGGACCAACATCACCAAATATGTTCCACATGTGTACATTGGAGTCTTTCGTAACATTTTTAGTGGTAGCCCACAACTAGTGTTAGCAGCTGAAATGTTAAATAAAGCAATGAATCAAACAATTATTTCTCTAAACAATTAGTAAGATATGGAGAGCAAGCAAGATAGAAGTCCTAAATATAATCTGTTTTGGAGTTTAAATAAATCCATCAGAAATACTGATAAATCTAACATTTTTGCAGGCTTTGGAAGTTACTTGTGGGGCTGGCCAGTGGACTCTAAAGATCCCCTCCACTCATTAGGAGATAATTCCTCAGAGGGCATTCATGGTTTCAGTGGCATTTTAAAATATAATTTGAATAAAACAATCTTTAAATATGAATAAAAATAATAAGCCCTAGTTTCCATAATGACGATGATGACAACAACAAACAACATCGGGAAAAAAATAGAAACCTAAAAGCTAATAGAAGGTATAATATACAGAGAAGCAAACAAAAATC